TATATGTGTGGAACCGCTAAGCCGCGGACAGCGCCCATTAGGAGGTTGCTTACGTCTTTGTTGCTCTGCGTTGTGAGAGCTCTAGCTTCACCAGATCGTGCTTTATCCAGGAGTACCAAACTTTAAACCATCTTCCCTGTCAGTGTGTACATCAAAGCTGTGTATCATCCGGAACGTCTTTCAGGACAGGCCGACGTAATGGTTACCACTTTTTGATGCTCCTCCAGACCTTTTTGTACAGTTTAAATAATTACCTATGTGCGCACCAAAGTCGTAGCTTTGGGAACTGGTTTGCAGATTGTATGCCTTTATCCTATGCATGTAGACACATCTCCGCGCTGATAACATCTCCTTAGGATCTTGTTGTAGACCTTTGTGGTCGTCCTGTCCCCTGATAGCTCACTATGTCTTGATGACATCCTCGAAGGGTTGGACTTCCGAGAAAGTAGTTCTAGCCATGTGCGGACTCGGAGAACAGGCGAGACCCTAGCACCGATCCTTGAAATACGCCGCACTCTACTTCACTCGCGTCGAATGGGGATCTAAGGACTGTCACCATAGACGTCATAATTTGCGGCTCATGGGAGGAGAATCGTCATTCCAACTAGTCGTGGAACAACTAATCATAGCGTGAGTCCGGTGTATATTGCACTTCTCTGCGAGCTACTGGTATCCGGCTATTCAGTGCATCACTTGGTGAAAGGCTTATTTCTCATACGAATGAACCACCGTGTCACTCTTTGCGGTCATCTGGATGTGTATAGTTTCAGACAAGAGGCCTGATTATACACTGGCTTTTCAAACCTACTTCGTGGCATCAGGGGCTGCTTTTACCTAGGTCCTTGCATAACTTCGGAAATCACGAAGAAGCTATTTCATTGAGGCTGTCTGATCTACACACGACTGCCGACCGTATGCGACTGTGTTATTGGCAGAGCGGCGGCTTCTCGTTTCCGAGTGTCTACCTAATACATTTTCGCTTTCTATCGCTTTTCTCCTCTTTTTCTTCTTTGTACTCTTCCTTTTTCTCATCATTCCTCTTAATTGATGGGATTTGTGGTGACAACGCATATGCGATATTTTTGCCGAATGTTGATGGTGATAATGATGACATCTTGCTGAGCGGTTATCCGATATTAGCAAAAGCGACACAATTTTCAGCATGACAAGGTTGTAATTGTTTAGAATGGCCACAATGTCCCCAACCACTGCTATGACTTATCTCCTGAAGTCATCATCACTGCGATCGTCAGTTTCCCCTTGTCACGAAAATTATGGTGTTGTCAGGGAAATTTGTTTTCTTTTTCCGGTCTTTTCTTATTCCACGCAACTTACTAATGTTTCCCGACCCTTTTTGCTTGCCTTCTCCATTCGATTGTCTCTCATTATACTCTCGTTACTTTTCCTCACCATGGCATCGCGAGTGAGAGCAGCTGACATCACCACACTCCATGTCTCGGAGATGTACTGTCAATAATTTCAAATGAACTAGATACCCCATCGAATCTGCTAGTGCTATGGCAGTTCGACGTCACTGCCATAGTGTAAAGGCTAATTTAACGGGATTTTTCTAACTGTTTTCAGAAATGTACGATGAAGCCCCACGTTGTTCGTGCACGGTAACATACCTTTCTTGGCCACTCATCGGTTTGAATCTAAGAACACACTAGACTTGTCTATCTACCTTTCCCTGTATATAAGGACAGGAGATTTTGCAGTGAATCCACTAGTGTGTGGGATCAGCATGCAATCATCCAAAGTCTGCTAATCCATCAACCGAAGTTATCTGTCAATGTTTTGTGTGGTTACCACCTCCACAAGACGATTTCGGCGACTATCTTCAACCGTATTCACACCGAAATCCTAACGAGGTACAACCAAACGCTTATTTCAAGTGTCAATGTCCGACTACACCTACAGGAAACGAGCGGGGTATCTAAATGGTAGAACAAGTCGTGTAAATAAATGAATAATATTTTGTTACAGACTATGCGAGACGCCATTGGCCGCACGCTCATACAGGTGCGACAATGTTCATTCCATGGATCATAGACTGAACAGAAATAATCGAACTGATGGTAAGGAGCAACAGGATTTGCAGTGGTTGATATGATAATTGACAAGACGACAGAACAATCCAAATAAATAGCTGCATCCAAAAAGTGGTTAGAAATATAACGCCCGTTTCCTACGTTTTACAGAGGCAGTCGCGATCAGCCGTATCAAACCGCACTCTGTGTGCAAAAACAGCTGTTCTTAAGCCTACGGCTGCCCTGGGCGTAGGGGTGTCACGCCTGCCCCTCTACACTGTTCTAACTTGTTCCGGTCTCACCCTACCTGTCGTCTTATATATTTTCATGTTATTGTGTTGGCACTGAAGAGACAATACGAAATGTTGACATCTGCGAGTGTTCGTCTTCTAGTGGCATTATTCAAATTACTAAAGGGATCCAATTGCTTCAGAAATATAAGGTTTCAAAATGTTTATACAGATGAAGGGAGAGTTTACTCGGAAACTGCAAGCCGATTTGCATTTAAATGAAGGTTTTTTCTATTCACAGTCTTCACGTCACTCAAATTTCGACCGTTCCTGTTATGTTGTTTTCACGTTTCGTTTCGATAGTTAAGTCATAGTGATTCTTTTTCCCTAGGTCCCTCGAATATAAACAGTAAGATGGCTTTGAGTATTAAAAGTTTAGATTCTTCGGTGTGATTCCCACTGGTGAGATTGGGAATTGCGTGTACTTTGACGTATTATCATCTAAGTTTAGATGGGCCTAGGGAAGAGAAAGTACATGCGATCTAGAAAATTTCGATAGTGAAGTCTTCCTGAAAGCTTTGCCCATTGGAGATGTGCGCTGATGTACACCAAGTTAACACCGGATAATGGTAAAGACTTGGTAGAATTCACAGGGATATTGCTCCATGGTAGTGAATAATTGCCCGTGGAAGTTAAATATGAAAGAGTTTTCTTGAAAGTATTGACCACTGTGGAGGTTGTTATAGCTGCCGTCACGGTAGCACCAAGTAGTACAGGCTTGTAGTGATATTGCTCCAAAAATAAGCAACGTCAAACTCAGTTGTTCAGTCCACATCGAAAATGGCCTCAAAATTGCAATATTTCCGATAAGGTAAGTAGCGATATCAGATGGTCAATCTTCGATCATGCATCACAGTAGTGTTCAGTACGCTTTGAGGAAAAGTTGGAGCTTCGTTCATCTAAGAAAGTCGGCTGGTGGTTAAGGAGATCAAAAGGGGTGGGGGTTTTATCAACCTTTCTTGGCAGATCTCAGGAAAAGGAGTGAAGATTAACAAACAGTTGACAAACACGAGAGCATCCCGTGCGTAAGTGAAGAGGGCTTACCGTGAAGCCAGTTTTGATACGCAACCAAAAAACGTGAAGCTTTTTCGCTTTATTTGCTATGCACATACATTATTGTGTAGGAATTTTTTGCTAGCTTGCGTTCGCTACATATACTAAGTTGAACGGACTGTCATTAACAAGGCTAGAGGACGTGGACGACGTAACATAGGCATATTAGGACGCGGAAGTACGTGGGAGATACAAGGGGGGCGTATGTCATCGAGGCGGATTACGTATTACGAATAAAGGATTTCGAAAGAAAAAACTAATGCAGAAAAAACTAATAAAAATAACCAGTAGTCGCCTTAGCAGCTTGCATGCCACCTCCACTGGTGGCAGCTTGCAAAGGAAGTCGTTGCTCTGGGGGCCAGCCCTGTCTTCTGCACATCATAACATGCAAGACAGTGGAGGATGAGCCGCGCTATATCGCAGTTAGATATCAGTCATGGGGGTCCGCTGCCGTCGCCCATGGCTCGGTGACATAAGTCGCTGACTCGCAAGTGTAAGATCGTGGGTTCGAATCCGGCAGGATTCTGCGGGTGCGCGCTACTGACGACGAAACGGCCGTCTAGCGCTTTTCTGGATGTGTGGTGACTGTCTACCTGTGTCTAATTGCGACGAACCTACACAAAAACCTAATAAATCCTCTAATACGTACAAATAATAGAGAATTGTCTGTTACGAGAATTCGAGTCCTGATTGGTTGCACGTGGGAGCCAGCATAAACTCCTAATGGTCGAACCAAGCGGATGCAGTCTGAAAATACAATGTCCTCTTTGGGACACCCAAAGTCCTGTTGCTCTGCGCTGCCTGCATCGGATGTCATCCCCCTTAGCGAATCCCATGCATTCAATAGAATGACCACGATCTGTTAACCATTAAACAAGTGTCTTATCTTCACCAGTTGTTCTCCGATGGGAGTGTTATCGTGCACCCTATTTGCAGTTTGACTATCAAACTATGGTCTGACGACGGATTTACATTTTTATTTGTTTCCGAACCTCACACAAGTGAAGTAATCTCAATCACATTAGTTTGACTGCTATTGCGCTATGCTCCATAAGTCTCCTCGTTTGGTCGAATCGCTCTGGGCTCGTATACCCCAACACTCCAGATCGTTTTGTGCACAAGGGATCGTACAAGTTTGTACATAATGCAGCGTTTACTGAGAGGGCCTATACCCCACAAGCCAGTTCATTGATTGATCAAATGAATACCTAATCAACCAATTAATTAATTAGCTACACATTGCTCAGTAGGTACAAAACATCCTATTATACATGATTGCACGGTCATTTTGAGGTACTCGTTGACCACTAGGACTGTATCTGAAACGTATGGGAATTGGGTTCGATGCCCACTATCTCTACCTGCTGAGATCAAACAAGATTGAAACGCGTATTGGAGTACAGCCTTTTCCTGTGGGGGGGGGGGGCAACGCCCAATCCTATTATACATTTCCTCATCTGCTTCTAGAGGCAACTCGTATCTTTGTGACATTTGTAGACGTGTTAGAGTTCGTTTTAGGCTTCATCTTTGCTCAGTATCTGGTATTATTGACACTTTTCTCCCACTTATCCTCCGCTACGATTCACCTACTCTCACCCCCTATCCTGACCAAATTCTCTCGATTCAGCGCGGTGAGCTCAGCAACTTCCAATATCTGATGTATCTCAACACCCTGGCTGGTCGATCGTACAACGATCTGATGCAGTACCCTATATTTCCCTGGGTCTTGTCCGATTACGACTCGGACGAGCTGGATCTCACTCGACCAGAAACATTCAGGGACTTTGCCAAACCAATGGGCGCCCAGTCCGAACGTCGATTCAGCCAGTTCCATCGCAGATTTCGTGAATGGGATGATCCCACAGGCGAAACTCCTCCATATCACTACGGAACCCATTACTCGTCGGCCATGATCGTAGCCTCGTACCTGGTCCGAATGGAGCCGTTTACTCAGTATTTCTTAAAACTACAGGTGCTGAATTATTCGTTATCTCCTTGTTTGTGTTCCCTAGATGCAACATTTTGTCTCGCGACGCAGATTTACTTGCTAAGAATGATTTGCTATAGACTTCTCCTCACAGATCAACACCCGCTTGATGTAAGTACCGATCAGCTTGGGAAGTATAGCATATTTGGGCAAGAGAACTTTGCTCACGTGTAATTCCTCACTAGATATTCCGTCGTCTTTTTCCCCATTCCCGAATTCTCATGTTCGGCTCTGCAGTGCGAGCGAGGATGTGCTTCTTGTCGCATCTAGCTATTCAGCCACCTCCGCTGCCAATACCTGTAGTGGTTTTCCATCTGCAACCTTATCATTTTTTCTTGGTCGTAGTTAACCTTTTTTTCCAACTATAGGACTACTTTAGTTCTCTACTCTGTCTTTCGCCATGTACACCTACCTGATTGGGCCACATTTTTCTGTACTCGTAATCCATACTGCAGCCAATATGCTCCACCCGACACTCGCAACGCACTCCAGATTACATGAGAGTATCAGGGGAATTTTGATGTTGTAAGTAGAAGATCATCACTGCTAGATTCAGTCAGTGTGGTGGCTGTCTGCCTGTGTCTAACTGCGACGAATCTACACAAAACCTAATAAATCCCCCTACTACTTACAAATAGCCATCGCACTATACGGTCGTTTCATCCATTCTGCAGTCATCGACAGTGCACATTCCATCTCAGACTTGTGGGGCTAGAACTTGCTGGCATAACTTAATTGACGGCTTAATTTCGCAAGTCCCTTGCTTGCTAATGTGGGCTACTCTATCCCCTACATCGGATAGTGAGCGACGCTAAGTCACATCTGGTAATTTAGTCACGATGATTGTCGCCGTCTCTCAGTAACCAAGTGGTCTCAACCACAGATTGGCATCAGTCCAGTTGCGGGTTCCAGCCCCACAGGGACTGGATAAAATGTGCACTGCTAGTGATTCTCAAAAGGACGAAACGGTCATACAACGCTTTTCCGCGTGTGTGATTGCTGTCTGATTAAGTCCAGATGTGATAAAGTTCTACGTACAACCCTTCAGTTTGCTTAGCATAATAGTAGATTGTTCTACCTTTATTCTGCAGAGAACGCTCAGCAAGCGAGCATGACGGAAACGACGTAATTGTCTCCAACATCTCGATGGAGTAGTATCCTGACACCTAGAAACAGTTTGCTTCTCGGGATTACCCCGTACTGAGTGACGACAGATTATTTGTGTTAACTCCAGTGGGGATCGCGTTATTTGGCAAACAACGAGGTTATGGTAATCTTGATTTCTGCGCATTGATTTTGACTCTGTTCGTCTGCGCTTAGCAAGTGCATGGGAAGTATTATTTTTGTTTTACGTCAATAACTAACTTGCGTTATAGATTTGGTCAACCGACACCCGGATACTTCCCTCATTGACAATATTCTTTCTGCACATCGAACTTCTAGCAGCGAATCACGTAGGGCTTTTTGGTGTTTATTTTGCCTTGGAAGTCAAGGAAATGCTCTCTGTGTTTGTCTTATCGATGGCCCTTAGCTACACCATTCCTGTATATGGCAAGTAAGCGGTGACAAGACATCCACTGTCTCAGATACCAAGATTGTGATGCTCCATCTTGCGAATCCGATCGGGAAATATCCCCGCTTGTTTAAGTTGTGCAAGGTTTTCTCACTATTTCTAATCACACCCTAATACTGCTATTCGGCTCAATTAATACTTGTCTAGCTGATTGAAAAGGTAACATTCCAGTTATACATCCAACTAAACAATCAGAGTACAAAGGTTGTGAGATGATGCAGTTATTTTATGCAGTCTCATCGATTACATGCATGCAGCTAAGTATATCTTCAAGAAGGACATGGTCACCTGAGATTGCTCCGTGCCAGTTGGTAACTAATTGGAGAAACGTCGCGCTACCTCGGCAGGTTTTGCGTTGCTATCATTTGTTTGTGGACTTTGAGCATTAGTCGCATTAGATCGATAACCGCGGCTTCATGATGCCTGAGAATGTGGGGTTTATGCGCACGCATAAAAATCGTGAATGAGATAAGTTGATCAATTATATCGATCGAGTGTGGCCGCCGCTTCGGTTGCATATTTAGTTGGTAGTTACACTACACCTACGGTGGTATGATGAGGCTTCACCAATAGATGCTTCACCAATCGACTAACAATTGTCTACCATCCGATGTCATGTACTCTCGTCCTTCTTGAAGTTCTAATTATGGCTTGCACGTATACGATTAAAAAGCGCATGCAGAATGACAGCGTCAACTCACAACCTGTGCCCTCTGATATTAGTAACCCGGACTAATCTCTCATACAACTAATAAACTAAAATTAGTTGTTTTTCTTAGAAAGTAGAAGCCACGATTAAACTTCGCACAATAATCTGCCTCGACGAGGAATCGAACCCCGGGCTCACGGATTACCGGGCCCGGGATTCGATTCCACGTCGAGGCAGATTCTTGTGCGAAGTTCAATCGTGGCTTCTACTTTCTACGAAAATTACGCTGCTCACAAAAATTCACAAGTAAAATTAGTTGCTTAAGTAATTGCTCAATCCATTATTCATTTGCGTAAGTTCCCCGTTAGATCTTTTTGAATTGGGTAGGCTCCGGGTTCTCTTCCTCACTGGTTCCATAGGATTCTAATTACAAATGGTTTCTGATAGGACTGGGGCGCTCTAGTTCGTCTAGGACGAGGATTTGGCAGCATTATGATTAATCACGATGGACTTAATCGCAATCATTTTCATCCACTCACATATTCCAAATATCTCGAGTTGGATACTGAAACTGCCTGCTTCATTCTCGCGTACGCACGCAGTAGCAAGTACTCTATGGCAAATCAATTTGCTCCGTTGCCGGTTTGACATCTTGCTTAGCAATGATGAAATCACACACGCAACTACGGTCCGCGCGCCATATTTTTCTCCTGATTCGCCCCCCCCCAATTTTTATATAAGTGACAATGTCTCTCGCCGTAAGCTATGTTATTGACGATACAAATAGCGAATAATCATTACAATGAAGTGCATTATATACCTTTACGGATTTTACCTGTAGGGCGGTCACTTCGACCTGCCGGACCGGATGTTTCACAGCGTGAAAGATGCTTGGCTTAGCGCCAGTCGGCACAACATGGCTGATGTGCGTGAGTTGATCCCGGAATTTTTCTACCTGCCCGACTTTCTACTCAACTCCAATCGATTTGAGCTGGGTGTCAAACAGAACGGACAAGAGGTGGACCATGTTCTCCTTCCTCCGTGGGCGAAATCGGATCCCCGTGAATTTATACGTGTTCATCGTGAGGTCAGTGGCTCCATTTTTCCCATTCCAACGTGTATGTGATGTTCTTCTGATGTGCTTGAATTTTTCTCCATATGTATCCACTCTTGTTTAGGGATACAGGTTTGATTGTTTAAACGCGAAACGCTTTTGTGTTCATCTTACACTGTTGCCTCGTATCCCATTATACCTTTTTCATCTCGTTTTCGAATCTGTTCACTTTCATTTTTCACATTGTCATCCACCTATTCCTCCACCAATCTCTGATCCAGCAGCTAGGCGAGTCATAACTATACCTTGGTACTTGTCTACTTCTGTTGTTGCACTTCAAAATCAGTTTCTTTCTGGGTCTTCAACCTTAGCTATCCGGACTCGGACCCTGGACGTCGTGATCTTCCGGTTTGCGCATCACCACTGGGTCACTCGTCACGCGACTCACACTTGTCACAACTTGTAAGAAATCACACTTCATACTTTCAAGTGCCCGCAGCGTATGTGTATTGTTGAACATAATCCCAATCTGAGCCATGATCCACTTTGCACTGATCCTGTTTAAAGGCTCGGAGAGGTGGGAATGCATACCGTTTGCACTAATCACTGTTACTACTGTTAGTTTTTAGGTAATACCATTAGAAGTGTGGTGGATTAAAGGTAGATACTACTTCGCCGGATATAAGTAGTGTGGTGCAAGATGACACACCAACAGCGAGCTCTGCCGACTTCCCCAAAGTTGAAGATGACATCAGGATTACAGTTCCATGTGCACGAGGAGTGACCACAGAGGCAAGCACCAGTTGGGGAACACTCCACGGAAATCACGCAGATGAGCGGACGCCTCCAAAGTATGGACGAACACACCTAGTGTAAGCCACTTTAGCAATAAACAAGTTACCGCCTGCCCCTTGGGTTCTAACAGAAATAACCGCGCCCTGCACGCCTACGCGATATCCTACTCGCTGCGTAGCGTCCTAGGCAGACCTTGGGATGGAGCAACGGATTTTATGTGGCCTTACTGATCAAACTGACCGAAAGCAAGTACATGTTCTATCCCAGTTACTATTACTCCAAAATCCAGCTACGTTTTCCAATGTCCGTTTCAGCTGGCGCTACGTCAACACATGAGCTCACCGGGATCGCATTCGAACTTTAGAGTTCGCTTTCTTACTCGCTCCCAATGCTGCACCCCACGACCGCTTTCGTCCTCGAGTAGGAGGGCAGGTACAACTAGATGAGGTCTAAAACCATCCTGGACTTTTCAACTGGCCGGTGGCCGAGTGGTCCGCACTCCTAGCTTGCATAATGTCACCGGTTCGAATCTGCGTAGGGGTTGGCGTCATCGCGGTATATTCAGCCGACGCGGGACTGGTGGTAGTCGCGCGTTTGCGAAGCGCTGTTACGGCGTATAGCTGACTATTATAATTTTTTTAAACTTTTAAACTTGGGGGACTATCAACTGGAGTAGTAATACAGTAGGGGCGCAGAACCGCCACTAATCACTCGACCGCTCCACATCAGCCAGAGTCTCCAATCACTGATGTAGCTGTCCCTGCAGTCCACCATCCAGAATTAACTTGATCATCAATGCTGCCAACCTTACTAAGCCATCCGTTGTGTGCTTGGGCCAGTCGGATGCGATGTTTGCAGACGATACTCACCAGTGTGCCCGGTGCTAGTCGTCTTGCGGATAGGAATGCGCTCATGTCCTCCAATTCAGACAGCTGTCGGTGTTCCCAGACAAGTCAATTCTGCTGAAGTGTTAAACCTCCTCGCACCTAAGGTGCGCGGTCGCATCCTATGACGGCGCCTGACTGCTAACAGCGGTGGTACTTTATGGCACTTATCTGCCTACTGTAGACGTACATTATCCGATCATCCATGGCGCAATGCAAAAACTGTAACGTGTTGAGCATGTTGCCAACAGGCTCATCCCAAATTTGTGGGGTATGTTGTGCGGAGATCAATGCAGGAGACTGGAGCTTCACACTGCGGCACAGTAGCTGAGGTGTTTCCCACCTCTAACTAAGGTGTATAGTGTGTGTGTGTGGGGGGGGGCTGCACACACAATCTTCTCGTTGGTTTTGTGTGGACCTCATAATGACGCACTGAACATCTGGGTGACTTCCATATGCTACAGCCGCTACTGCACTTGCGCACACAAAGCAGAACTAGCGGACATCGGTACAAGCTTCTGGTAACGAACCTGAAGCCGATAGCTCACTATCTATGATTCTACCGTCGAGTGGTGAAATATTGGAACAGTTTACCCGAAACAGTATACGGGACAAAACCGGTGTTGGAATTCAGTGACTTCCCCAACGCCCACTTAGTGGATTACAAGTTTGGAGTGTCATCGCTCCTGAATACTAGGACGTCACACAGCAGAATGCTGAATGCTGTAATATAGAACAAGTAGAAATGAATTCTGCACAAATCTTCCGAAATATGGTGAAAAACGTTATAAAAATTGTCAGCCGTGAATATCGTTATCATTCTCATGTAACAGTTAAAATATCTGACTCACGGTATTGCAGGACTCACAAATTTGAGATGTCATCGTAAGTGCGCAATCGTTCTCTGAATCGAATAGAGGCAAAATGCAAATCTAACAACGTGTTGAACTTGCTGCACAGATGTTGCCTCCATCACCTGTTCAGACAAACTGTTCCAAATATTTACCACTCTCTGTTCGAAGGACAATGGGTGGAGAACACATTTCACATCCAGTACGACAAGTTTGTATCTGTGTCCGTATGGGCTGCATGGCCCTCGTTAGTGCAGTATTGGGCTCAACATGGGGAACTCACCGAGATGTAGAATACGGTAGGTCATAATGAGGTTGACTCGCACCAGACGGTAGGACAAGGTGTAGAGTCCTAGTTTCTCGCACCGGTCTTCATACCCAAAGCCACGTAAACTCGGGATGAGCCTGGTAGCAACGTGTTGGACCCGTTCGATCTTTTGTGCCACGCCTCGGGTAATCGGAACGTAGGCGGACGAAACGTACTCTAGCATTGGTCTAATGATGCAAGAGGCGAGTGACATCCTCTTCAGACCATGTGCCGAAGCTACGTTTGAGCGCCCAAAGCATGCGCCGTCCGTTACGATATAACCTGTTCGTGTTGTCCGCGGACTTCAAATCGTAGCGTGAGAGTACACCTAGGTCCTACACGGAGGGTGTGGGATATAGCGCTTGGCCGTCAATAGTGTAGGTTCGGCCGTCAGCACCCTTCCCCAGGCTCATAAATACAGACTTGGCTGAGTTGACCTGGAGATGAACTTCTGCTGACCATGTGGATAGGCAGTTGAGATCTTGGTGAAGTAGGCCACAGTCGTCGGGAACTTCAATTTCACTCCAACTCTTCATGTCATCCGTAAACAAGGCACACGGCGACCGGAGAAGCTGTGGTGAATCGTTGATGTGGATTAGAAACTGAGTGGGCACCAGCACAGTGCCTTTGAGGCACGCCACTTGTAGAGGAGTACCAGTAGGTTAGATGGTCGTCGACCTGTACCCTCTACTTTCGTACAACAAGAAAGTCGCTGATCCACTGGTGCAGTGAGGCACCGACACCGCACGTCCTGGCTTTGTGACGGAGAACCTCATGGCTGATCTTGCCGAACGCTTTACTGAAATCGATGGATACTACGTCGGCAGACTTGCCCTTGCTTATTGCATTAAACCCCTCGTGCGTCGTCAGAAGAAAGTTTGTAATGCATGAGCGGCCTTGCATAAAACCGTGCTATGTTGGCGTCAGGACCCCTTTTGACTGCAGCAACTGCAATAATCCATTTTTTACGATTTTCTCAGCATCCTTTGCGAAAATAGGTGTCAGGCAGATTGGCCTGTAGGTGTCTGCTTTGCTAGGGTCGCCGCATTTCGGAATAGGCTTCACCACTGCACATTTCTTGTCAGAACTGCGTGTCCGATGTTATATCTTTGGCGACACACAGATGCATATCTTCTAGTTTTAGAACTTCAGTATTGAGTAAGTAACTCGATCGGCATTTGACTATCTATGTTGTGCATGCCCTTCGCAGATCAAAAGGACAGCACTCCAAAGATACACTACGCTGTTAAAACATCTGGCGCTTACACCGTTGTACTCATCCAGACTGCGGTGTGAACTCTTCCCATATACATCAGTCCTTTCAATGCAGCTTCGGGTCTTTCCTTCGTGCCTCTGCTCACAGACGAAACACACATAAGTACTTCTTTGCATGGGTTCATGACGTCCTACTAGATGGATCTTTGATCTTTTGTATCTATAAGTAAAGTCACTATGACACAGGTTGCTCATTACGACTAAACCTGTGCCTTCAACCCTCTGCTTTAACATCTATGACAGTCATCATATACTCATTGGCTCCTTTTTTCCACTTCTCTCACTTTACCTTCCATATAAATAATTGTTTGCCACCATGACATTTGGATCCCACGCAAAACCGTTGCTGTTTGTTTGTTTAGTCGATCTGTAAATCACACTTGAGGTCACTATTTGGCTGGTGTCGATCATTATAAACGTACTCTGGACCCGAAATGGGGTTAGCAGCAGACAAGAAAAGCCATCACAATCTTAAGAATGAAAAATTCTGCTCTAATTTGCAGTTAAAATTACTAGAGAGAATGGGCAATAATGGGTGAACGCTGCAGAAAGAACTAAGCGTTTGATCCAACTGTTTATTGGAGGTAGTCGGTGAACGTGTTGGAATCCACCAATTTCGCGTATTTCCGATATCACGCTATGTGAAACATTCATCCGAACTCGATGAACCAGTTAATCAGCGGGGAACATGCGAAAAACCCTGCAAATTATCAGTTACTTGGGAGTGACCGACACAAACCCACGATATTGGCATAAGCTCATTTAGGCGTTCAATGATTGGATTACTGTTCTCATGCGCTTTCTGGTTTCACGACTAACCAGTCCATCCATTGTGTGTAATTTCATCTGGACATCATCCGGTCCTACTGACATGCACACACTGACCTTGTGAGCACATAGTCCTCGGAACGCGCTAAACGCTTCCCGTAATCCGCTTCGAATCCGAGCACCAAGCGCCTGTTACTAACTCACTTGACTGCCGTTTCGATCCCAACCTTCTTCACGGATGGCTGTTCTCTACCTGCTACCTCAATCGATCATCAGCTACGTAGACGTCACACAGATTGTCGCACCGTGCTTAGACATCTATGTGGACTCCTTCTCAAACCCGAGTAAACAGTTTTGGAGGGCATTCTAACCCGAATCCTCCTGCAGCAGGTTGACTAAATGTGTCACATTGCCGCGCATCTCGACTACCAGGCGGGACATGTGCTTCTAAACCTGTTGTGATGCTGCGCTGTTTCGCCAGTGAGACTGCGACTCTGTCTGTCTGCTCAACCACGCGCCCAACCAACCGGAGGAAACCAAAAACACAAAGCTCGGTATACAGAGTATATTCTACAGAATAAGTCGTCTCTATTAATGAGCCATACATACTAATTTTGGAAACCATGGTCATCCAATCTTTATCAACTGGCCCTCAGTCAATGTAAGCGAGTTCCGTTCCAGTGGTTCGTCATATTTGACAGAATCGTTCGCCTGCGTGTCCGACTCCGTCCAAACCCTGGACTCCGTATTGAATTCGCCAGCCAATCAATTCTCTCCTGATTCCCAAATGTGGCGGAAGAGGCGAACGCGCGTCCTCGCCCGTGCGCATGATCTTCACAACCAGCTGACTGATCACGTGCTCCCGGTAAGCTGACGTGCACTCTAGCTGCCCCGCGGGGTTGCCGTCTTGTGCGTGGACATTGACTCCACTTGGGTCTCTATTAAAATCCTTCACAACTCGCTATCCAATCAACAACCTTTACTCATCCTGCGCATCTTTGCCATTCACTGATTGCGTAAAACCCATGTCAACTGGTTTTCTGTCTGTTGTTTGGTATTTGGGTCGGAACCTTTCTGCCAAAGGTATTCACAAAAGCAAGGAAGAGCAGTGTTTTCGAGCGGGCAACACCTAACTTCCACCTGCTTCAGCTACGCTTCCAGTGATTGCAGTGACCAAGGTTCACTTCAATGTGAATCCCCGTCCACATTGAGATTGCGCGTCGCAATCCAATCACACAACTTGTAATCAAAAAATAGCTCTCCAAGAAAGGGCTATTATTTGTGCTAGAAGGTATCTACATTGCGTCCCATGTTTTCTCTGGTTCGGATGCTCGGCTATTTGCTGTCTCACTGACCGGTTCAGAACTCGTTATCGCTGATATTATCTGTAGTCTGGGACCCGTATTATCATCCATGTGCATGAGGTATACCACAGCTCAGCGAAGTAACGATGGAGCCACTGGAGACACCAAGTAACTTAACGTTCACTTATTGTGGTGTTCGCCGACCTGAGCAAGTTGATTATAGACGTTTCATCACCATTCCAGGTAGCATCGTCAGTGCAGAAGTGGTATCACCTTTGTAGCAGGAACTAGTGGAAGGCAAATCCAAGGATGGATGCCGTCAGTCACTTCTCCATTCTTTATATAGGCATATGCGAATTTTAAGTTGGCCATATCCTGATTGGCCATTCATTGTGTGCTAACTGTGTGCTTGAAAGGTTACACTGCTTGCAAAAATACTGGTGCGACGTGGTTAGGATTGTCACACTTGAATTTGTGCAATGGCATAGGTTAGAAGTCTCAGCTCATGTAGACTGTCAATTCATTGTCTGAGTGGCAAATTGGGTTCATTCGAACTACGGCTTTCAATCCTTCTGAGCTCCATTTGTCTCAGAGGTTAGTATACTTAATCGATATCGATATGTATCTAGATTGAGTTCTTGGTTGAAAAGCAGGGCTCGATATATTCTTTCACTTTTTGCGTTTCTCATTAGGCCAGGGTCTCTGTTTTGTTCCATTCAATCAATCAATCAGTCAACAACAGCAGTACATCAGCCATTTGAACTGATACTTCACTGCCATACGACCATGATGGCCTATTGAATGAAAAATAAGAAGCGGGAGAGAAGGCGGACTTACCTGAAAACCTTAATGTTCTAAGCAAATGTTCAGAGTCAATTCGCTTACACCTTGTGTTGACAACATACCGTCACAAACAGCTGGCTATCGTGTTTTGTTCCAGTCGAAGCTGTGTCCTTCTTCATCCACGTGTGCTGAAACCAGTGATTTTGTATAAACTTCCCACACTCCTTTTTGTGTTCCGGTTTCCCTGTTGATAACTTCCTTTTTGTTCGTCCTACATGGTCCTTTTCACAATTTGTACTATTTATTTTGTGTTCGACACTCCACCGTTCTTTCGCTTCTCGATTTCTTTTTGGTCTTGGCAATGTTATCCTTGTGTTGGAGGTTTACATGTGGCTTACCATGATGTGCTATTTGGACAATATGCTATTTGTGATATGTTCTTTATATACGGCAGATCGACTAGTTTCGTTTTCTCTGACGTGGGCTCAGGTTTTTGGGACTATGGTTTAAGTATCTTCAGAGGGAACTGCGTGAGTATCCGTTGCGTTCGATTGACTTGCATAGGTCCTTCTCTTCTGCTTGTTTCGCTTCCATAGTACCGCAGTAAGTTGCTCTATTCTGCGAAACAGTGTTTGTACACAGCTTATTATGTGACATTTGTTGTGGTTACTGTTGATGTTCTGAATCCGATCCTTATCTGTTTTTTTTGTAAACACATCGCCCATTGTTCTGGCTACTAATACGTCCCAGAAAGAAAATTTGTTTACTTTCTCCGATTTCATCGTAAACTGAATGTCATCTATGGCTTCGTTTAGTAATTTGTGTTCATTCGCTGCTTGACTGCCTTAAAGCGCACCCGATAGATCGCTGTTGGTTTTCCATTTTCGTCCTCACTTCATAATAAAGCCCCCAAAAACAAACCACCTACGATAATGCGCCACTTTTGAAGATCGTTTTCCACACCCATACTTTTTTCATTTCAGGCCTTGGAAAGTGAATACGTCTCAGCTCGACTGAACGAATGGATTGATCTCATTTTCGGCTACAAGCAACAAGGCGATCCTGCCGTACAAGCATCGAATGTCTTCCATCACTTGTTCTATGAAGGCAACGTGGATATCTACTCCATCGATGACCCCCTCAAACGCTCCGCTGTGATCGGTTTCATCAACAATTTTGGTCAGATCCCAAAGCAGCTGTTCCGAAAGCCACATCCCAGCCGTCGACTCTCCATTCCACGTGGCCCTCCGGCCCTTTTCCTCGGGTCGAATGGGAAGTGCAATTCCGCCAGTCAACTAGCTTTAGATCTATTCTACCGGAATATCGAGTGCTTGAAACCACATCTGCAACCACTAAAAGGTGAGCCGGCTTTCATCTTCATTCTTATCACTCATTTCAACCCAACAGATTGACTTTGAGACTCGCTTCTGTACACTTGCATCCCCTTCCACTCCAAGAGCCTTGCTCGCCGAACTGGGCAATCTGATTGCCAGCGTTTCATCGCTACTGAATGCGATAGATTCTGTGATTCACCCTGGAATTGTGTGAATCGCAGTTTTTGCCATCAAGGCTATTGCTACTACGACTACGGGTATCAACACCATCATCACTACGGAATAATGATGTTCTTTCTGTTGGTGACCAATCAAATTGTTCATCTCGGCGAATAAATCAACATGCCAATATCTCCGCTTGTTGCAAAAGTTATTGATTTTGTTTTTGGATGTTTGTGAGTAGTGTAAAGTTCGTAGAAAGTAGAAGTCACGATTAAAATTCACGCACAATAATGTGCCTCGACGGGGAATCGAACCCCAGTCCACGAATTTCCGGTGTCCGAAAGGGTTACGCGTTTGTCATGTAATCCGGAGGTCGCCGACGAATCCGCGTGGGTCCGTGCGATCTTGCGATATACCCAGCCTTAGCGCAACTGTTGGTGGTTACGTGCAGCGAAGCGTCGGTGCGGTGTGCCGACATGCTGCTAATGCCTTTTCTGATTCTGCGTTGGGATACAATTCCAAATCATTGTAATCATTGTAATGTAGAGAGCAGTAGGAAAGACCTTTGTCAGCTCCATCACCTCCCAATCATAGCAGGTGTTTGCGCAACAGCAATTAACAAGTTAGCTTGTCACAGTTACATAAGAAACAAAAAGATCCCTGCAAATTCAAGAAGTATAAATCCAACAATTGTTTAAAACATTCCTCCGCATGCATGTTGACAACGGAATTAGGCAAGCAGTTCCAGTCGTTCACCACACGAGTCGATAGTGTAAAGTCAGAGCGAAGCCTGAGTCTCCTAGTGTTAACCAGTTTCCAGCAGTGGCCCCGAGTCGAACACTCAGTGTTAACCTGGAAGAAACCTTGGAGCTCGTTTCCCATCTCGCCTCGCAGAATGCGCCGAGCGTAGATCAGATCGCCTCGGCGCCGCCAATATCCCAGGGAGAACATATTTGAATGCTGGAGACGAATGTGATATGGCAGGTGTCGGAACTCAAAGATGCACTTATAACCGCGTCGCTGAACTTTTTCGATCAAGCCATGTCCAAGCTTTGTAAGTGGATGAACTGCGGGTAATCCATATTCGAGGATTGGATGCACATGGGAGGAAAACATAAGTCTGAAGATCTCCGTCGTCAATCGTGAGAAGGCTCTTCGGACAGAACACAGTAATCTGTTAGCCGCAGCAACCTTCTCCAAAGTATCTTGGGTGATTTTCAGATCACAGCATACAATAGCACCAAGGCCTCTTTCCTTTTTCACATTATTAAGCAAATAACCACCAAGGTGGTAAACACCGAATTGTTAAGTAGCACCAATGGGGAGTACAGAACATTTATCGCGATTTATAGGCAACTGCCATTTAAGCTATGTTTCCGCAATATTAAATCGAGTATTCCGGATGCAATCTTGCCTTCACTTACCGCAAAACATTGGCTCGCGTGTGTCGATTTATGCGCCACTGTCATTGACCTCAATCGTATCTCCCACCGTAGGAAAGGAGAAGGTGTACACCAATGGAGTTCACAACTTATTCCTCGCTTACGCTAAGAATGGCAATATGTGAATCACGACGCATCTGAAGAAGTGGGGCGCACACACCTACCGCCGTCACTCTCACGTACGTAACAAGGGGTGATAATAGTAGACCGTCAGCGCTTGGATAATCACAGATCGGCGACTTCCTCCATTCGGGCTTCGTCCGCAATGTGCACTCTATCGGCATAGCTAGGAGATCGTACTCTCCATTCATGGTTTGTAAGCTCGCATTTAAGCCCCTGACTATTGCGAACCTCGAGGACTGATCTTAGAACGTTGTGTCGCAGGGATCTTCAAATTCGTCACATTTACGCTGAGTCAAACGGGTGTCAATACTTCGCCGAAATCCCCTACCGAAGATTGCGTGTCGCATAGCCACCATTGGTTGCTTACAGACCGGGATTCCTCAAAGTCACCAGCATTACCGAAGGCTGCAACTGGTTATCCGTTGATTACAAATCAAATACTTTAATCACTTCACCTGTCAGTGTAAGTGCACAAGTTGGCCGCTTCGTCCTTTGTCAGAATACTGGATATCTATTTCCTTCGTCTCTGTATATATGATGACTGTCTAACAGAGTGCATCTGTGGTGAGCCTTCCCTAAAATTCCAACAAATATCTATATTCTTCTATCGGAATACCCTCAACTCAATGCATTCATGTTGTTTCTTCCGTGCCTCATTTTATCACGCGGGACTGAACGAATTGTCAACATGGACGCTGGCGTTCGCCTACTGCCAGCCACTCTAGGATACCAATGCCGTTATTGATCTCATACGATGCAACACCAAACAACAGTCCCAACAATGCTTCTTCTGGTTGTCTCCACTCGTCCACGATTCCTTTGAGCTCAGTTTGATCTGCCGACATCGTGTGTGTAATGGCTCATTCTGCCAATATGGGGATGACATAACTGATTGAAAACGTAAAACGCGAGGGCAGACAAATAAACTAAGCGCATCAGCAGTATGCCGGTACGCGGTACCGAAGCTTCGCTGCCGCGCAACCACCACTGGTCACTTGTGCGCTAAGGATACCGCGAGGTTCGCTCTGCGCCCACGCAGGCTCGAACCCGTATGGTCAGGTTACGAGACAATCTCTTTACCTTTAGACTACGTGCCGGCAGACAAATTAACTAATGAATCAATCGAATTGAAGTCAACCAAATTGTTACACTCATCAGTCAGAAGCATTTAAGGGTCCGCGGCACGTAAGCGCCACCAGCGCCTACTTTATGGATAGCACGGAATGCGATACCACCGTAGTTAATTGCTTGGATCACAGCCGAACTGCACTGAGCTGTATTGGTGAATTAGCCAACGTTTGTTGGGTCCGCGTTATCGTTCCTATATTCCAATCGTCATTCTTTTTCTGGGGAACACTTCGATGTCCCAAGCCATATTCCTTTGTTTTGGACGACTGAACAGACTGTCAGGATTAGTGGAATGTGGAGTCAACTTTAGTTGGAATAAGACCTACCAGCAGGTCAGCCGACCATCGCTCACTTGAGCCCGACGAGAAAGCAGGGTCGCACCGGGCTCCCAGGTTAGATCACATCCTCAATGCAAAGACGTCTCAGGGCCTTAGGCGCACTTGTTCGGTCAAGCAGCTGCGTGTATTCTGTCGTCCGGCAAATAATTCACCTCCCTTTCGGACATGTTTGCATTCCACCAACGTATGACATTTTATTGTTATTTCTTAATTCATCCACCAATGTGACATTTTTTCACCCTCTCTTCACGCAGAACTGAAACATGCCGTCGGGCAGATTGTACAGCTCTCCGTACACCCAACCTCCGGGGGAATGTCATCATCCGCTACTGGCGCCACTGCTGCTGTTGGTTCCTGCATTGCTATGGGTAATGGGTCACCAGGATACAGCGGCGCTGGGGCGTTTACAGATCACTCTTCTGCATCCGGTCCTTCCAGCCTACTCCAAAGCGGCGGCACCACCGTGTCGAACGCTTCCCTTGTGGCTGTGGAGTTGCACAAGTGTCTACTACCTCCACTTCACACAATGTACATTGCTTGGGGTTTCACAGACGGAAGTCTACGTCTCTGCAGCTCATTCGATCCAACGGAACGTGCTCGAGGTGTGTTTGAAATGGTCGATCAGGAAGAGATTTTGTGCTGTTCAGCGCCGAATAAGCGGACACTTATCACCGCTGGTCTCAGTACGATTGTTCGTGTATGGCAGGTCAGTGATGGATCGTCGCGCTTTGTGAAGTCGCTCACACTGTGCCGTTTCTTACTAGGTCGGACAAGTTTCCTGTCTCTTCTGCCTTGTAGATTCAGCAAGTTGATCCAAACACGTCTTCCGGTCCCGGTGCATCCACTCTGACTAGTGGGCCTAACACTGCGGCTGGGGCTTCTACAGGTGGTTCATCTGGGAATCCGGGTCCTACCTCCGGAGGCTATCGATTGAGACTTCGGGCTGATCTGTGTGGACACACTGAGGCGATCACATGCCTTGCTTCGTCCAATGCATTCAACTTGGTTGTGAGCGGAAGCCGTGATCGGACCTGCATTCTGTGGGACTTGACGCGGCTCAGCTTCCTGCGCCAGCTAGTTGGGCATTCGGCTCCCGTGGCCGCGGTGTGCATTAGCGAGGCTACAGGAGACGTTGCCAGTTGTGCGGGCAGTTTTGTCCATTTGTGGAGTTGCAACGGCGAGCTGATCGCTTGTGTTGACACCATGGCCGGCAGAAACAAGCAGGTACTCTGCGTCTGTATGAGCACGGTAAGTGATATTCCATTTTCTGAATGACAATTTATTGGAAAACCTGTCAGTAGATTATGTAAGTGATACGTTCTCCAGGCGCGTTATTCTCTGCGGCGTTGATCTACCTGGAATACATCCCGGGGATCCTGGTAATCGTAGCAAGCAGAGAAGAAGCAGAGAGAAGTTCTTAGCCAGCGGTACCGCAATAGCAAATTTCACGAGGAGCGTCTTGCTGGAACGCGCAATACGCCCTCCTAGATTCAAAGATCTCACTATACACTAGCATTATGGACGGATACTACTCTACTGTCCAGCCACAGACGTTTGCACGCTGGCTCCGTTACTTTAAAACACCCAAACCCATGTAGGAGCGAGGACCTGGGTCCGCGTCGTAAAGGTCACAAGCCAAACACCATGTGGATGGTGGGATTGGGGTAGGGATATATTAATGTGTGGTGGACTTATCCGATCATCACGTTTCGTGCACTGAACACAGGGATCGCATCTACTTAGCTTACCTCTGGCCACTTTCTCATTTCGAATTTGCTTACTGCATTGCGCCCCTAAATTTTGTCGGAATTTTTCATTAGTACGATAACCATGAGCGAAAAGTTCTTTTCTCATGGACAGACCACTTATTTCATCTCCTCCAATGTGTAGAAGCGGATACCTTAAAGTGGCTACCATATCGGCAACTACCAAATGCTGGTATTGGACTGAATATCCTGGTTTTTACGTCTGCCATGCGCCTCTTTTTGCCATTGCAACTGTAAACTTCGATCAGAGTTGTGCTTAGTCCTGAGGAGTCTCTCAGCAAAGCGTACTGGCTCTTTCATTCTCAACATTGTCCATATGCTTTCGTCTCCGTCTCCCAGGCGTTTTCACTCAAGTGCATGATCCCTTTGACCCCTGTACAGTTAAACGATCTTTGTTCGCAAATGCAACATCCTGAACATCATTATCGGGTATGGGTTGTATCATGTCATTGCGTTCTGCTGCTACCTCTCCTTTGCGTCACTCCATCTAACGCTTGCGTCCCCTCGTTTTTCGTATACCTTTCAGCTTTATCACTGGGATGCGGAAAACGTACTGATTACCGGGGGATCCGACGGCGTCGTGCGAATGTGGGGTTTGGAGTACCGTCGTCTGAGCGACAGGAGCAACTTGCACAGAAGTGTAGACGGAACGAATTCCCAAAGCTCCGAATCCACTGCCGCTGGAGCTCAACAACCCCCACGTGCCGCCAACGGCTCCCCGGAGGGATCTTCTCTGGTGGTGAGTGTGACAAGGATTAGGGATTTGAAATGTGCCCGCGCTTCTTCTGTGCGGAGACTGCTCTATTTATCGGTAATACAATCCTTTCCGCATCAAGTCGCATGTACCTCCGGTGGTTCCCTTAAACAGTAACACACCATCTCCCCTACTAATTCCCATTACGCTTTACCTACAAGTTTACAATTCACACAAATCGGGACGCCGATACCTTGCTCACGACTTCTGGGGGAAAGGGTTCTCATCTCATCTCCGCACCTATTTTCCACCCCTGCATTTACTGGGACCGTTAACACTTTGAATGAAGGTTCGCTGCATGTCCATTACGCCGGACGTTATGTTTAGTTCCAATTCAGGTAGTCTTTGTCATTTGAGACACATTAGCGACGCACTTCCCAAACTGCACCTACACCGTATCCTCGTTAATTGGGGTTGATGACATCCATTTATAGATTATTCTGTCACGATGACTATGAAAAGCCACCAGTCTCCTGCTCCTACAAAAGGACCATGAGTGGATTGTGCTTCACCGTACACACAGCTCCACCACATATCCAGTGTTAACTCGAATGGGCAATACTGAGACGCATGTAACTCGGAGCCACGATTGATTTAGAGTCGGTCCATATTCCCTCAACCTTCGCATCATTCATTTGAATAGAGGGACCTTTTCGTATGGACTTGGCCATATACCGTTCCGCACTGCATGGAACTACTCTTTGAGCCTACAACTGTCATGAAGACCGTTCACCTGAGTTGCGACCAGCAACTTCTTTTATTGAGTAGTCGGGATGACGGTGTCCAACTGGTTAGCACTTTGTCACACAGATTCGGCACCTCAAACGGAACCAGACATCAACCACTGATCAAGCATTCGCCTGTTACTTGGCTGAAGCGACATGGTTCAATCTAGGCTTCGCCAGCCTTAGCCTCATCATCCGCACAGCAAGGGTGCCACCAGCACGCTTGCACAATGCGTGTGCTCATACGGGTTGCATGACACATACGTAAAGACATTTATGTGCGATCTGCTGTAAATGCCATGAAATCCGATTACAGCGGCTTTGGTCAAGACAGCCGCGCCCCTACAACCTTTTGGCAAATGCATCGTGATTGATAGACTGGATAGACTGAGCAGCTAGACGACGTTCTAGCATCCTTTGAGCGCAGTGGATGAGCGAACTCATACGAAGCAGTACTTACACTGAACAACAGTATCCGATAACCATCAGTGCCACCTTCCACTGAATTTCCCCACTTGCTTCTGCTTAAATCTAGTGAAATTGCTACCTCTCGGTATTAGTGAAACCCCACTCAATCCCGAGTTCATACTACATTTCGTTGTTGATAACTAGTGTTGTAGAATCACGGTCTGTCGAGTAGCCCTCCATGAATTAAAATAAACTTTGTGCAACGATTGAATTCCAGTGTCTGTGCATCAACCAACGTGTATACCATACGTAAATGGGGGCGCTATTTTGTCGCGACGTCTTCCCACTGGTTGCTTTCCATTTTCACGTCTTCCGTGATCTATGTACGTTCATTGGTCCGTACGTTGTGTTCGCCTCACTCGACTCCAACTCAGTCTGCGGTGTACGCCTTGAGGCATGCTCAGACGTATCAGCTTTCCTTTGTCTGCCTGACCAGCGCAATCGCTTCGTTCACTCTCGGTTGTTCCATCCAATCCGCTTCGCCAGTGTTCCTGACAAAGCTGTGTTTGCTCCTTTCTACGCTGAGCCGATCCTGATTCCCCTCTGTGGCTCGTCCACGCGTGATTGGTTGGCGTCGACAGGGACAGATTGGCCTTCTGCGTGCCTACACCCCATTGGTCATGTTCATGCAAACGTCCAGCTCATACCTCACGGTTCATTTACTCTAATTTGTTCTACCTAATGCCCTGAAATTTCGCTGGCCATCTATCTCTGTTTGACCACTCGACGTTGTTGTCCGTGTCTACCAATTTATGTCTTCTAGGTGCCTACACTCCACTTAGTGCATTAGTCTTACTGATTTTGTTGACTGTTTTTACACACCACAGGTTGAAAACTCCACTACTAGCACAGGAGTTACAACGCAATCCTCTACAATCAGCCCGCTGCCTAGATCCATATGTGAGTTGACTGTGGCCCATGATCTGTTGTGATTATGTCTCTTGACACTAGCTAATTCTGTCTACTGTTTCCCTCTTATGTTTGTCGCACTTGGATATACAGTACCCAGGGCTTTCCCGGACTGTTTTCCACTAAAGTGGAGTGTTCTTTTTACCGACCTAGTTCACCCTGTCTAGTGAGCATAATCGCGGCACAATGGCTCATCCAGGCACCGTGTTGCAAGAACTAAAAATGTTGACCACAAGGCGGCCGATGTCAAACGGCTGGCTGAAAAGCCAACTGTTGGCAGAATGCGGCCACATTCAAAGACGCCACAGATTCCTTGGTTGGACCCTGTGATCTAATTTCGCTTACCATCGATGTGATTGTTCCTGTGGTTCCTCTTCTGCATGGCACTTAAATAAATAAATGGTTTATTCTTGACGCACGCGCCTCTGAGCGGAGTTGTCTCCTGGTTTAAGTAGTTCGCTATTTCCTACCCGCCCATGGATTTTACCCAACCAAACTAATTCCACACGTCCTTAGCACCGGAGTGACAAGCTGGCGTTCATTCGAGACGCTCGACAATGCAGTCATGAGTGTTGTCAGCTATATCTTATTCCCCATTCTTCCATCCTTTCTTACAAAAGTCGCAACAAAAACGATCAAATCGGTTGCTTTGTGAGAATCGAGATTTTTGGTGATATACTAACGGTTCATTCAGCTGAATATACCAAGCGCCATTTCGTTCAGTGCAGGATCTTTTTGGATAATGCTAGGGATAGTGTTAAAAGTGTCCTTATTATCATCCTCTTTCCATTCGATCAGTGCACAGTATTTTCATTACACCAAGATGGTTTCATTTGTCATATTCAACCTAACCGCATCCATTGTACTTCAATCGTCGCATTCCTATCCTGGTCCTTTTTTCTTGACAGTTGGCAGTCTGTCCACGGAGATGTGATTGCATCGGGTTTTGGGTTGTGTTGTGTAAAATATGGCAGTGGCCAACTCATTCTCATTGAGTTTACACCAAAACAGGGGTTGCCATTTGAGATATAACCATGGCTACTTCACAACAAAGTCAAACAACCATCAAGCGTCTTTGCTCATTAATGCTCGCGGATTATTTCTTACATTTTGTGGGAGCTCTGGATGCGCAGGACCACGAAGCTTGCCAGTTGGTGTTTGGAAGGAAACCCTCTGGACCCTCACTGAAGTGTCCACTAGGTGATGTTCTCTGTATACTGACTGACCATTTTTCTTGACTGTGGCTGTGGGATGACGAGGCGACCGGTCGATGACGTTGTGTAGGTACGTGAAGGACTTAACCAGGTCGTGGCTCCAAGATAGGCCACATCAGTGGCTGGACATTCTAACCCATGTGATACGGTCTGGAACTCAGTGGCACTGCTGCGTTCTGTATCTTGCGTCCATCTGTTGGCCTGGTACGCTTTCCCGTTGCTCTATTTCCTTTGTATTTTGATGTGCTCTGCAATTCATTTTGTGTGATATTGTTAAGCGATATTATTATGTTGGAATCGGGATTAACGACAAGTGGATCCATCGCACTTCGGCCCTCGAATCTTTGACTGTAAAAAAGCTGTCTGCAGAAGGGTTGTCTAGTCAGAGCTACGGTGAGCTGCGCAATACTGCACATCGCGGTTACATCTGGGCAGTTTATTCCTTCACTTTTTCGACATGAAACGACACACTCTCTACCTTTCCCCTTGTGCAATCTCAATTGGATGGAACCCTCTTCAATTAATCTACTGTCACTCGAGCGACGAACTCACGGTGATTCGCCCCTGTATAATTACTGTACTCAGCAGCTATCACATGGAGAACTGGAGAAGGAAAGCACAAACATGTCGCTAATCCGAAGGAGAAAACTCCATGATAGGTGCCCATTCAGCTGAAGTACAGGATCAATAAGTGGATTGTTTGTTTCCCTACCGCGCCACCGCGGTGTGATTTCTTAGCCCCTCATATAACCCATCTCGTCCAGAAGGATATTGTGGCACATCCCGAGGAAGTAGGATCTCTCCACGTCTTTTTGCCACGTTGCCGCTTAACTACTCTGCACTTACAATCAACTAAACGCAGTATGGTCAGATAGCACATGCCAGATGAGAGGCTCACATAAATGTGAAAAACGCGATCTAGACATACACTGCTCGTATTCAAGAGACGATCGAACGCATCACCGGATAGTTTGCTGCACAATATTCGTTGTCGGACATGCGCACTACTCATTCAGTGGTTTCAGTGGACAGAAGCAATGCTGAGTTCGCACGGGCCCTCCAGGACGTCTAGCCTGTTGATGTCCTAAGTACCGATTGGTCTTGTGTCCGATCCATCTAGTAGCACCGGTCACACCGAAGTGTTTCGGCATATTCTTCCATTTACCGATAGGCTAATGTATCATTACATTCATGAGCTTTTCAAGCTTTGCATGGACAAATAAGACCTATCTTTAGGCACCATTCGACAATGGGACCAACACAGGCGTTACAAATGTTCAGATAAGCGCACTAACTAGCTGTTTTGTGTGGTTATTCGGTAGTAATGAAAATCGTGGTGTTTTCATGCAGTGCCGCAGTACTACGCTACACAGTGGGAGTTGGACGCACGAGTCGAATGATGCAATTATGGGCTTTAACCTGTTCGACATCTCTTGTACAGAAGTCCGGCTTGATCGAGAAGAAGCGAGCTACCGCGAAAATGGTAACTGGTCACCAAATAGAGCTCGCACTTGGAACGCATCAATAAGCAAGGAGTCATGTGGAATCCATTCGTTTTTAGCTTTGATAGTAGCGACCAGATATGGTTACTATCGAATATGTCTATCTTGAAGTACTATGCACCATGAACACTAGTTTGACCTTGGTATTACCACATTCTCCGCCTCCCTGGTATCTCCTCCCTTGGATATGATGACTGGACATCCTTGTGACACTTCCACACTCACTGTTTATGGTACTTCTGACGCGCGGTTATTTATGCTTCATTTGCTCTGATTCACGGCTCCATCTGCCATACTTTTGCAGTCGCAGCAGTAGCTTTGCTCCTTTCAAATTGTGATGTTTCATGAGCTTATTCAGTGTAATCTGTTACCCCCATACATTGTGTTCCTTTTGGACAGCCCTCGGAGGCGAATGGACTCGTCAGCTCGTGTGCCGTGGGCGACTGACAATGCACACTGCATTCGGTCGCAGCGACAACCGACAGCCTGCAGCTATCACCGCATTAGCCATCTCACGGGACCATCGCTCCCTTTTAATCGGTGATTCCCGCGGTCGAGTTCATGCTTGGTCTGTGCCCTCCGATACGAACCGTGGAGGCATGACGGATCATTGGACGCGAGACGAGGGGGTGACCAATTGCGCCGCAGATGGATGTGGCCTGCGCTTCTCTCTCACCGAACGCAAACACCATTGCCGCAATTGTGGCAAAGTGTTTTGCTCCAAGTATGTGCCTCGTCCATGTAACCACGAGTAATTCTACTATCCCACATTGGTGTTTGCACGACATTTGCCTCTTCTTACTATTCCTGTCTGTCTAACAAGTGGGTTTCGCTGATCTAGCGCTTTTATTCCTGTCCGTTTTTGCTACTTTAGTACCTGAGTTACTTCTTGGGTGTATGGTTGCGTGCATCACTTGTTGTCATCATCGTCCTGGAATAGCCAACTTGACGAACTACTTATGAGTAGCACATTTTCATAAACAATTAAACATCTGGTTTCTTTCGGTAGACCGTTCGTGTTATGGCATGGACTGTGCTGTTAAAGCCAATCATTCATGAGGCAGACTTTAACGATGTGTCACATTTGACAGTGGAATTGTTCGAATTAGCCCATATGACTCTTACGCTACCGCAGGAACCAAGCCTCAAGCAGCTTGCGTAGCGTGCGACCCCATTGGTCTAGGGTCTTTATCAGCTCGACGGTGTTCGTCGTATTTCCATCCAACCATTCCAGTGTGCGTTTGGATGAGCGAAGTGAAGGTCACCCTGCGTGTTTCCAGCATTTATCTGGCACCATTTCGAATTTATCTCAGCCTTGATTATTTGCACATGCACAGATACACATACATTATTATTATTATTATTATTATTATTATTATTATTATTATTATTATTATTATTCAACACGACCAATATACAATTGGCAGTGCCACAACACATAGTTAACAACAACAGAAAAAGGGGGGAAATGGGTAGTCAATGAAAGGATTTGGAAGGTTTAGGAGGCTATGTTGTGTAGGCAGAGATCTTCCCGGTTGTCCAAGACCAATGAAGATGGTTGACTTAAGGGACCCCACCCCGTAGCCTTTGATCTTTAAACCTAACCCGCAAGGCAGAGGAGCGATTAACTAAGACCGTTGACATCCGGGTGGCTCCTTCGCCTTCTTTGTGTTCAGTAGCAGTTCACAGCGAAGCCGGTGGCCAGCAAGTTTGTTCATCCGCTCTCCGTTATATACTCACATCTTGTCATAGAAGTAAGTGGTTAGTGACTCTACAGCCGGCCACATTGACTTTGACACAGCGCCGTACGAGCTCGTGTGGTATTTGATGGAGAGCCAGATGACCAGCCTAGAACTCTCCACGCTCTGAGACACTGCCGCTGATTGTACGCAACTGCTTATTCATCTGGCCTGCAAGGCAGACAAGACATATTCGCAGTTGACTCCACAAGGAAGACATTCACCAATCCGCAACCTGGTGTCGCGCCCGATAGCGTGCAGCTCCGCCACATACAGTACATCACGGTTGCATCCTTCGAGCGACTGCGGTGTTCAGTATGCCGTTGTTGGTCCTGTGGCGCGCTTCATCTTTCCACAGCATCAGTTTAACAGCCGGTAGTCGTCCCACTGACGGTTTATTTTCTCAGTGGTTCGGTTAAACCTTGTTAGCCTCGACTCTTCGATTTACACAGTACGAGTGGAGTAATGGGAATATTGAGATTGCAATGCACTTTTGTCAAAAAATGTGGATGTTCGAGTACATTAATCCGTGCTTCCTTCAAAACCAGTTTTGCATCAAAGTTATTTTCTGCAATAAAAATCATGCTTAGGAATGAAAGCTTATGGCAGAGACTGCGTGTATATGTCGCTCGTAGAGCACGGTGTCGACGGAGATAAACACCGAAGCTGCTTTTACTTTGGATGCCATCCTAGTGATTGAAATAACAGAGGTCCACTTCAGCGTGAATCGCAATCCGAGGTTAGCATACACGTCGCTGTCCAAACGCGCGGCTGATACTCCAAGTCTGGCAACGAGCTACGCTATGGATGTTGCTGCGGATCAAGCGGATATTCACTGTTGTTCGAAAATATCACGTTTTCTGATTGATGATCCAGGCGCCGAACAACGATTGTTCTCTCCTTATGCGCCAACAGCTTCACTTTTGAAACAGAAAGTAGCGACCAAGCTTGTTTTCAGGGTTTTATCATCAGTCTAATACAACCACAATAAAGCAAGCTAGAATAGACACATTAGGTCACTGAAGCAGAGTAACTAATCGATAAGTCTACGTGATTGGTCTGGTTGAGGCGAAGTCAGGCGAATTGGCGTGACTGCCATTGTTAGTAGCGTTGGTCTGAGGACAAGGCAGGGTTAAAGTATGGACGAGATTTTCTGTGCACATAGGTCCGGGTTATAGAGCCGAATCACGATCGCCTCTGCTACCGACAGCAAGCGGCACCTGACTGCCCGTGTGTAACGTCCAGGGACACAGTAGATCGGTGTGAATGCGTCATGAGAATTGATCTAATGGTCGGAGTCTACTAGGTTCGACCATACTGCACTCGTTACATTCTTCCTCACGCCGCTGTAGAGCCAAGCTGGGCAATGCTCTCGAGCCCTAACGGACAGTCGCCTGGTCGTTTTCCCAATATACCTTGCTCGACACGAGCAAGAGAAATTGTACTCACAGAAGGAGGTCTGCGACCGAGATATCCTGTCTTTGTTGTTGGCGCATAATCGATGTTGAGATGAAGCTTGCGCGTAGATTGGCGGCGAAATACGTTCGCGCTGTTGCTAAGCAAAGTCCTCGGGTGGTCCGTTCCGCTATCACGTCACCCTTAAACGGTAATAATAAGTATACCATCCGCTTCTCCGCAGTTCTGTACTCTTTAACATAGCAATGTTTAGAATATGAACTATGGTTTTGCTTGAGACAAGACTGTTAAACGAGTAGCCTAAAGCTTACTTGATCACACGCTTAGGTTGGAACGAATGGCTTCTACCTGTAGGTTTCTCAGTTCCCATATACCTTTCAGAGGTCCAAATCGTGCACTTATGTCGCAAAATTCTACGTAAGGGAACACATATGAAATTCTTGGCGCCATAATGTGTCCATTGCTACCGTGTGCCATTTAGCGATGTGGTAATCGCAAATTAGAGGCACTCAGAGATAAGCCGTCTTTGACTGCTGGTCCTCACGACGCGTTGCTCACGCCTGGTCCTCGCAGCATCAGAGGCTTGACTCAGCTCTCAAGCAGTCTGCGTTTGTGAATAGATACTCTAGTGTTACACTGGAACAACTCATTGTACTCCAACCGCCTTCACCGAATGAGCGATGCTCTTCGCATGTCTGCGGGTTGTTTGGATCAAGGTTCATTGTTCCATGGTTTTTCGAGGCGCGCCGGCGGTGATTCTCGATAGTCTCACTCTCTTGACACACATTTCTGGTCCTTGATAGTTAATAACTTCTAATGCTAACAAGCTATTCTCTCCGTGCTTCGTCTCCTCGACCTCGTCTTCTGGAGTGCGTCTTTGCGTACCAGCCAACACACTGTTTAGCAGCTCCCCGAGAGTCAAAACAGAATCTTGGTAGCGACAGAAAAATGTTTTTTCCTAACTTGTTACATCACGCACACTGCACAAACATTTGAGGCGTGATTCCGCTGTGGTCCCTTCTCATCGAATATTTCTCATTTTCGACACTGTTATACACTGTCTAAGGTCCATAGCCAGCACGCGCTTTGCATCCGAAACACTCGGGCAGACCCACTTTTTCAGTCTACGGCCCTGCTGGACTTGACTCCTGCGTGGTCATGCCGATTCTCCGTTCGCTCCGTGTGATTGAGTGCAGCTTGCATAGATGGTAGTTGGCCCACCTTCTGTTCAGTAGTTATCCGTCTTCTCCGTTCGCTCCATGGAATGGCCGCTATCGCGTGCAGTGTCGTTGTTAGGTTGGGTTCGTTAGCACGCACGCACAGTTGGCTCACGCCTTTTTGCGCTAACGCGCTTATTCTTTCTTCCGTGACCGAGCTACTCTTCATTCAATCTAGATTGAGCCAATTCCGCTTTGTCTCTCCGGCCCGTACGGTGATGGTCAGTTTGCGTCAACGGCAGTTGATTGGCCTCCTGTCCGCCTACGCCGCATCAGCCACTTTTGCAAATATTTCTTATCTTTATGCTTGAAGATGTACTCCAGGTACTACGTTCCCGCTTCCATTACTTCCAACTGGTTCTTGTTGCAATGATTGATTGAAATATCATTGTTTAGTGAAGATTTACCCATTTTTGGCGAAATTGATATCGTTTCTTGTTTGGTCATCTAATATCAGGAATGGTAGTTAATGCTGAAGTGTTACTTACCAAAGAACCCTGTTTCTGCTACGTAGTATTCTTGTCACACTTGACACCGAGTGTAAGCAAATCCTAGGCGTGGTTTGCTTTAAATCACAGTTCTAACCGCTATTATCACATATTTCTACCGAAAAGTGCCTAGTTGGGAGTCATCTTCTTGACATCCTACTTCAAGACTACCACCGGCATTTGAATCACATTTTTCGGCTTTTGCCGCCACGATATCACATCCTCTGTCACTTCGTTCTGATTCTCCGTTTTATCCGTCTCCAAATCATAGATGTTACTTAGCGGTCCCTGCGCGTCATTCATTGCACTACGGCTCTTGTTATTCTGTTTCAGGTGCAGCCGTTTCGAGATCGAAATTTATCGCCTGCGCCTGTTCAAACCAGTTCGTGTGTGTCAGACTTGCTACAGCGTACTGCAAGTGATCCAAGCTCCGAAGTCCCGTTCCACTAGGGACACAGCGCCATCTGAAACTTCGTCGAATCGTCCGTAATTGCTACACAAGCTCCCACTGCCCCAAATTCAACATGTGCCAACACCTTACCCGGCTCGGAATAGGAAACTATAGCCGATTGGCTGTTCCATTGCACCTGTATCTTCTACCACCTCTTTCTCGTTCGTTCTCCTACTTCCTCCTTTCTGTTGCTCTGTGAGATCACAGTAAACGTTTCGCCTTTATTCAGTGCCACCCATGTTTCGGTGTTGTTTTGCAATGCCCTCAAGCTTTGTGTATCTACTCTGTCGATTCCAGTGTGCTTCGCACCATTGTCACTCGGTCACTCTCATTATTGCGTACCATGTGTGTGGACCCTTACCTGAACGAATGTGTGTGTGTGTGTGTGTGTCCGTCTACTCGATCTCCATGCTCCCAGTCTACGTTGTATATACACACCTGCACCCAACTGGTCGTATGGCTCATTTCTTTCCTCCTCCCATGTATCATGTACCACGTCGTTAGGCCGCAAAAAAGTGTCACCGACGAGGCCAACACTGATCCATTCTTTATGTGCATTCTACCTATTTTTCTTTGTTTTTTCTTATCTTTATGCTTCTTTTCTGGTACTGGTTATGTACGCTCTGTTGAAACGCATAATCTTTTCACCCAACGGGGATTGAAGCATCGTGACACCCTCGCTGACCGCGTTGGGTATCAAACCCATTCGTGTGTGTGTGTGTTTGGGCATGCGTGTAACGTGTTTGCATGTCGGTTGCGAAAGCTGTGACTTCTCATCTCAGATGGAGTAACTCGCTTCTTTCAAGATAAATGGAAATGCTTTGTATTTTACCTTCCCCTCCTTTAGTACCACGGCTTCACTCAGCGTTAGTACTACGCCATCGTTAGCCTGCAATTAGCACGAAGATTAGGTTATGCTAATTCAAGCGGCATGTTGCGTGTCACCCGCTTTCTCTTCCCATGCTCCAGCAGGTAAATATCACACTCTCCTGCTTTCAGGACCTGTGCTAAGAGAAATCCATAGGTGTTGTTGAAACTTTAAGCATCGTTTTGCGTCCGCTTTGTATATTCGATCGACTAACAAGCCACGCCGGCTCTCATCTTGTACTTCCTTGTGTTGTAGCGAGTCTTTGACTCTCCTACTCTGTCTCTAGTGACTGGTTATATTTTTCGGATCTCTTGGATTGCCGGTTCTGCACGCAGCCGTCTTCCCCAATAAACTCCGTTATCGATTAGCACTCGCTATGATCGAATTAGAACATTTCTCAGAATTATTGAGCGGCGTCTTTATACGTTTTCTCCTATTGTTTCTGAGTACACACCCTCCTATTTCAATTGAAAAGTTGACAAAGACAAGAGCTATCAGCAACTCTCATTTGTTGAACATGGTGCTCGTTGCACCTGAAAAGAACGCTCAGCTGTTAGCTTATCGGAAGTCGAGTGGCTTCATGGAAACGGTTTCGCTGTCGATACTCACCGCAATCTACCTCCCAGTGCAAACACTTGCATTGTTCTACCCGGCGCACATAGAACGTAGCGATATCGCTGGTACGGATTGACTAGATCACCCTCAGTCGTTATTCTTTGGCCAATGTTTCGGATCTTTTCGAGTGGAGCTTGGATACGTCCAACGACAGTGCCATACCTGACTAATTAGTTCTCACTATTCATTAGTGCATTTGATCAATCCACAGACAATCTGTCAAATTCTTTCATTGTGAAAGCATCTAGTGACATTCCATCAAAACAGCTGAGGTTTCAGAAACCCATCCATCTCTCCGGTAACCAAGTGTATGGACAGCGTTGTTCAAAAAGTACTGCAAGTCGACGTAACCAGCATGAGAGTTATTCACCTTGCGTGTGAGTAATAGCCGCTATTTCACTCAGGATCGACAATTTTTCTTACCTGTGCGTAGTTCCGGAGTCGGCAATTTAAGCGAAATTATACAGGACGATTGTTGTGTCGCCGCAGACTGTTTATATCTCACAAGCACAATGTGAACACCGGAGAAACGTGATTCACTTAACAAGGATACAATAGTAGTTGAAGAAAAGCTGTTAAAACACATTGGATCCAACTATCAACATGCGAGACACTGTAGAGCACAGGCGAATACAAAGTGGTAAAAGGTAAGAACCGATCAGTGGTGTCGGAGTAAACGGTATGTACGTAAATGCAACCCTGGGTTGACACCCATTACAAACGACTCATACCGGCCAACGGAATTAACGAAATGATGCGTTTAAACAGATGTCAACAGCCAACCGAAACCAGGGAACTAAGAATTGTCACAAAACTATATTTCCAGCAGGCAATCCCCTAACAGGGATCTCTGTGTAAGCAAACAAATGACGCGTGGTTACAATGCGACCAGGTGTTCCACAATCATGTATACATTTGATCCACTAGGGTATAAGGCTTGATGGAACAATTCGAAAGGCAATACAACTGTCATACATCTTCACCTCTGTCTGGGCTCGCTTGAATCTATTTGGTGTATTGGTTTCGCGTTCCCAACTTTGAATCGATCCGACTTGTCACCGTACGACTGGGACTCGCTTGTGGTCGACTTTGCTTCTCTATGATCGTTCTGCGGTCTCGTACCAAATTAACAATAATTCACTCACTCACACAGGACATACGATGAATGGAACGATTTAGTCGACAAATTAGTTGAGAAACTTACTCCCCAAACATGGTACTTACCGGCAAGCGCCGATGGATCAAGTTCAGATGGGACTAGAACGATAGGAGAATCCCGTGATTGTTCCATTTTGAGTGGATCGTTGAGTCAGGAATTGATGGCGTGCTCAGCGTTATTGATGGATCTAAAACGGAACACCCGTATCCCACCCTGACCAACCAGTTAAGACCCACGTTTCCTGCCCTAGCAGTCCTTGCTGTGGCAGTCACGTGAAGTAAGCAAAGGATAGGAAGAGAAATCGAAGGTACAGAATAAGGAAGTGCACGTAAATAAGAAAATAATACCAATGCGTGAAGCAACGTAGAGAAAAGAAAATCGAAGTACGAAGATGCTAGTTACTCAGGAAAATGGAAAGGTTTCGTGTTGACACCCAAGAAAGTCAAGTTGCCGCTCAAACCCCTTAACCGTAGATTCTCTGATGACATTTTCCGGAATCATGTTCCAGCGCTCGATAACTCTGCGTGACGGCCGTATTTTCGACCTAATCCGATCGGACCGCGGTTTGTCCAGCTTCAGGGAGTGACCACGTAGAACGAACAATCTAGCGGGACTGAATAGCTCAGAAAAATCTGGACCAACCTCAGTTAAGGTACGGTAGGTTAGAAGATTATAAGAAGGAGATTATAACAAATGGCGACGGAAAAATTGGAAATGTGGTGAATTTTCTGCTGAACAATTTCAAAAGCTGCTTTTGCAACAGCAAGCCCAAATGGAGACACAAATGAAAATGATTGAAAATCTGACACAATGTTTGAATTTGCAGACAACAGGAGCAGCGACGCGGGACATGCAGGCGAAATTTGTTGAGCTTCTCACGAACGCCATCACTGAATTTATTTATGACGCGGATTCTGGATGCATTTCCGAAGCGTGATTCAAGCGCTGGGAAGACATGTTCCAGGCGGACTTCATTCGTCAGGACGACTCCTGGAAGGTGCGATTGCTACTCCACAAGCTCGGAATAAGTGAACACTCAAGGTTCATAGACCACATTTTGCCCAAACAGCCGAAGAATCTGACTTTTGACGAAGCAGTGTCGCAATTGAAGGAAAGTTTTGGTAAGTCGGTATCTTTGTTTAGTATTCGCTATCAGTGTCTGAAAATTGTCACACAGGGAGCTGACGATTTTGGGGCCTTAGCAGACATGATTAACCGTGTGTGTGAAAGTTTCAAACCATGCTCTTTAACGGACGATCAGTTTAAGTGTCACATTTTCGTCAGTACTCTACAATCGCCCAGTGATGCTGAGATCCGAACGCGGCTTTTAGCTAAGCTGGAACAGGGGCTTGACCTGACACTGAAGGCCCTCGTAAGCGCATGCAAACGGCTGCTCACTCTCAAACACGACACTGCCATGGTCGAACGCAATGCTCTCGCACCGTGCAACTCGTGCTAAAGACCAGGACCGCCAACGCAAGCAAGCCCTTCAAGAGGCCTACGAAGAAACCGTCCACAGCATGCTGGTCATGCGGCGAATGGCATCTCGCTCGCTTTTGACCCTTCAAACATCATATTTGTCAAACGTATCATAAGCGTGGGCATAAAGAGGAATACTGCAGTGAAGTCCGGTCGAGGAAAGTAAATAAGTCTTATCGGAAGGGTAATTTTAGAAGTGACGGCGCTGAGTCGCTGTCCATAGTTGCTGAATTCCAAAGCGGATGTAAACCGAGACGACGATTCATCACTGTGTTAATCAATAGGATCCCAACGGAGCTGCAATTTGACACGGCCTCAGACATCACAATCATTTCCAGGAGCACATGGAATCCCATAAAGAGGCCGAAGATGGTCGAGTCTCAGAAAGTTGCACATAATGCATCCGGCGGTGTGTTACACTTAGTGAGCGAACTCAATTGCAAGATTGCTTTCCAAGGTGTGGAAAAGTCGGGAACATGCTATATTTCAGACCTGCCGAATTTGAATCTTCTTGGCCTCGACTGGATTGAAAAGTTGAACCTCCTCGATGTTCCCTTAAATCAGATCTGCAACCGAGTTCGAGCAGGTCCAGACCCGTCTGCAAAGTCCATCGAAGACATGACATGTACCCTGAAGCGAAAATTTGCCTCCGTCTTTCAGGATGGCTTAAGCCAGTGTACAAAATTCGAAGCGACACTGAAGTTGCTACCAGGTGCTAAACCAGTGTTCAAGGCTAAAAGACCGGTACCATATGCCGCCATGTCAACCGTTGAGCAAGAGCTCGATCGACTGGAACGTGCCGGAGTCATCACAGCCGTCAACTACTGATCATGGGCTGCACCTATTGTCGCAGTGAAGAAAGCAAATGGCAAGGTACGCGTCTGCGCTGACTTTTCAACTGGCCTCAACGCCGCGCTGGACGACTACCAGTACCCCTTACCTGTACCGGAGGATATCTTTGCAAAGTTGGATGGTGGTAAGTACTTTGCGAAGCTTGAGCTATCCGATGCTTAGCTGCAAGTGGATGTTGACGAAGGCTCGAGGGAGTTGTTGACGATCAACACTCATCGTCGGCTATTCTAATACAACCGCTTGCCATTTGGTGGGAAAACGGCGCCAGCCATCTACTAACAGTTGATGGACACCATACTAGCGGGTGTTTCTGGAACAACTGCATATCTGGACGATATCATAGTGTTGGGTCGAACACCGGAAGAACTGTTTAACCGTTTGGATGAAGTGCTTGGTTGCATGCAATCGTACGGTTTCCAGATCCGTGAGGATAAGTGCACATTTTTCACGCCGATCATCAAATACCTAGGTTTTATCCTCGAAAAGGGTGGACGTCGACCAGACCCGGAAAACATAGAAGCCATTAGAAGCATGCCTCCACCTACAGATCTATAGTCCTTGAGTTCCATTGGTGGGCTCATCAGCCACTACAGCGCATTCTTGCCTGAGATGCACCGCCTGCGTGCCCCGTTAAACAAGCTACTATCCGCAGGCCAAACATGGAACTGGACATCCGAATGCCAGAATGCCTTCAAACACGTCAAGTCACTGCTGTCCTCAAACTTGCTTTTGACTCATTTTGACCCCTCCAAAGAGATTGTCTTGGCCACAGATGCATCAAGCCATGGGATTGGTGCAGTTATATCACACACCTTCGCCGATGGATCTCAGAAGGCAATCGTCCATGCTACCAGAACA